CTTCCTTTACCACAGACGTTTTTTGTCCTTGGAATAATTAAAAGATTATCCATAACAATACTAATGCATGTCAAGCTTTAAAATAACGATGTTCCTGCAATTGGAAACAGCCTCACACCAATGACCTGTTTACAAACTGTGTAATAAAAATGCAATCTCCGTTCGTTCATTAATGGTTTGAAATATTTGTTTAATTTTGGGAAATTGCACGTGTCTTTGAAAATTCTTCGATTTTCGTTGGCATCTCATTAGATAAATTAAACGAGTTAGTCCGAGCCTGATATAAAGAGAATAAGATTGATGAAAGTTAGAAGCGTTGGTAATGTCTCGCAGCTCTATTTATCTTCCCCAGTATCTACTTCGTCACTATGTTAATTTAATTAATCAATATTGGTTTGTAATTTTAATCAATTTTTATCAGATAACGTATGTATTACAAATTATTATTAAAAATAATCGACAGAATACAACTAATTTACTGAGAATTGCCCTCCTCATACTGATAAGCAACAATTTATCTTTGAAACTGTTAGTTAATATTAATATTTTATTTTAAAATTAGAAGAATATTCAATAGTATTAATCTTATGTGTTTTAACGTTTAAATTAAATATGAATTTGTTAAAAAAAAAAAAAAAAAAAAGAAAACCTTCACTATACATAAATCGTTTCTAACAATATAAATTTATTCCAAACTACATTTTTATAAGCACAATGATGTATGATTAAAAAATTAATAAAATCATAAAAATTAAAAATTAATCGGAATAATAATATCTTTTGTTTTATTATATTTTCAAATCAAAAACTTTAGTAAAGAGAATATTATTAAACCAATTGTATGCAGTATCAATTGCAAAAAAAACAATTAAAAATATTAAAAGTTCAGTTTGAATATTAATAGGTATTTATAAATTTATAATTTTATAAATAATTTTAATTTAATATAATTTAATAAATAATTTTATAAATTTTAATGGTATGAAAAATTAAACATGATATTGCATGTAAATTATTCAAATTAACAATTAGTTTACTATCTTATTTTTGAGAATAAAAATCGAGAACTAAAACTGAGATAAAGAGGAATAGCCATTGAATAGCCATTTTAAAACTTATTCGTAATTTAAACTTATAAATTACGTCCTATCCTTATCTTTTCCTTTTTTTTTTTAATCCTTTTTATCATATAAGCTCTTCCTCGTTTTTAGAGTTATTTAAATAGAAGCTTTCTAGTTTGCCACTCTTTAATGGAGTGGAATATTACATCTTCGGCTTCATCTTTAAGTTATCGAGTAGCTTATCCGTGTAGCTAAGATTCCCCTGCGAAGCGGCTTTGAATAAATTTCCTCTGTTCACCTGAGTAAGTTGATCCAATAGGTCTCTATTTATCTATCTGTCTATCTCTTTTTCTCATTTAATTCTTATTCCCTTTTTTTTTCATGCTTTCTCTAAATACACACACGAGAGTACATAAAGCTGACTCGCGACAATATATCACATTGTAACAAAGTTAAGTGAGTACCACCGATTTATCCAGAATTTTTCTTTACCATTTAGTACGTATGTGCACGTATATTTATAATGCACGAGTGTATATAAATACGTACGCTGTACTCGTGGCACACTACATTTAACCTACTGGTCCACATATTCAGTAAGGGTGAGCACTAATCGATTTTTCAGTAGTAACTAGCGACTCAAGTCCGACGAAAATGTACATGATGCTTTTACTCTTGATAAGAGCGAACTATAATATCATTAGCCAACGTACTGCATGACTTGATTTGATTGAATAATTAAAATAAAATGTATGCCGCTAAGTTTGCTATTATTCTACGGGTAAATTTTGAAACGAGCGAATAATAGATGCTGTCTGTGAGAATAATCTTTTGTTTGAGTCATTTGTGTGTGCATGATCGATATTAAGTTGATGGTTAGTTACGAAAAACTTTGATATAAGCCATTGTTTGAAAAGTTTGGAAAGTTAAGAACTTCAATATGCAAGTTGGAATAGTAATTTTCTGTGATTCGTAACTAATGGAAGTATTACTTTCTCCTAACTTTTTTTCTTAACCGAATGGACATTGTGTATAGGCTCACTTCATTTATAATAATTGTTATTATTTTGAAAAGTATCTTTTATCTTATAGACGAATTATATACATTATATATTATATTTTATACATTACAATTTAATTGAACAAACTATACTATTTATGACAATTTATTACAATTTTTCTGAAAATTAATTAAACTAAATTAATCTTAAAAGATATATGAAATAAAATTTAAAATTAAATATTCAATGTCTAATGAAAATACAGCCAGAAAATTATAAGATATTTGAAAATTATAAAATATCAAATATTTTATGAGTTTTATGAGTTTCATGAGCTTTGTATGGTTCACTTGTAAAATTTATTATTAATAAATGTTTGTTAAATATTATAATAATTTATATAATATAATGTAATTATAATTAAGTGATTAATTCCGCACAGGCAAACTAAAGTATAATAATGACCGCAACTATATTATAAACTTTAGTTAATATTTTTATTATGTAATAGAATTTCAATTTATATTTCCAATATTTTTCAGAAGTTTGGCATATGATTTTTTGCTGTTTTAAGCATTATTGAGATTATTATTGTTCCATTATTTTATATTAAAATATTTCTTACATTACTCGATGAATAATATAATTCGTCAATAAAATATATCTATAGAGTTATTTTATAATATGAAGCTTCAATAATGTATTATTATAATAATTGAAATTACGTTGGATTATTAATTTTTCAAGTCTTATCCGTGTGAAAATATTAATATATCCTCTTCAATGCAGAGTCGTTGTTAATTTCGAATTATAATCGTTTATTTAATTTTATTGAATTTTTTACTCCCAGTTCGGGGAAATAAATGTGCATGTAAGCGAAATATTTTAAATGAGTTGATATATAAGTAAACAATGTTGGCTATTTTTGGAACAATAAAATGACAAACGAGGAAAGTTATATAGCAAAAAAAAAATGATTAGGATTCGCGTGAATGAATCCATTATTTGAACAAGTAAGCCATTTAAAAAGTATACGGAAGAAGAGACGAGAGAATCAGTTAGGAACAAACGTCGCTAGTTTTAACGAAAGGTGTGACAAACGGTTTGAGCGCAGATAACCGAGAATTTCGTCAGTATTTCGCATCATATGCGGCACGCATTCCCTCGTGAGCCAAGCGAATTCACCAGTGGTGATGTTTTCACTCAAATAATTATTGGCGCGAACGAGAGTTCCATACATGTACGCACAATATCGATCGAAGCTCGATCAAGAAAATAATGTTTCTTCCACGTGTGTAGTGATTGGTGCTGCAGGTCTGAAAGTCCAATTAACGTGTCAGGATGCCTGTAGTTAGTAGCCTGTAATAAATGGAACTCTCTTCCAATACAATTTCTTTCACATACTATTGAATGCCTGTTCGAGTATGTATGCCTTTCCAGGCGAAGGGAGAAAAAGGGGTTGTTTTGTGTACACGAATATTTCTATTGATTTTTGCGGACGATACTGAATTAAACGAGAGACTATACAAATATGGCTTTCCTACAATTCGATAGATGGTGTAAAGTAAATTTATTAGGATATTAAAAATTTTTCAATATATATTTGTGTTTAAAAGCTTTTTTAATAGATGTTTAGAGAAATTTTTTATATAATATTTATAGACTACTCATTAAAATGGATTTTTTCACATTGGTTTTTAGTTTTGAATTACTAATTTGATTTTAATATTTTGAAAATTAGATTTTATACATTTATTATGATACATGCCTGAATAGAAAATTTTTATATTTCAATAGTAATTAATGGAGTATTATATATCACACTACTGATAACATATAATGCTAATCATATTATTTTTAAAGTAATTAAATACGTAATATGAAGTATACGTTTCGCCATAACTTTGAACTATATCTTATTTAACTAGAATACTTTGTATTAAAATACTCTAATGGAAAAGTAATATTAAAATCTATTTCGTAAGGTGAACAATAATAATATTTATTTTCAAGACATATTAAAATATATTATAAGTCTGAAATTTTATAAAATAATGTAATAATATCTGATATAAATTATAATTCAAAGTTTTGTTAAAAAAAAGCTTATTTTAAATGGTTTCTAATGTTAAAATTGCTTTCGGATACTTATAACAAATAAATACACTTGTTATTTTAATGATTTTTATTTCTACTAATATTTTATTAACATTTTAATTTTGCTAATTTGCATTTTTCTACTAATTTTTGTTTGCCTTTTAATGAAAAATTTAACAAAAATGATAGGAATAAAGTTAGTTATTGCCAATATTCCAGTGTACTATGATGAAAATTCCAATAGTTGAAAGCCACTTATATATCAAATTTAATAGATTAATTAAATTTAAGTCCTTGGTTAGAAAGTCTCATTCTATGAATGAAAGTAATGAGGATAAGAAAAGTAATGAATCCTATAAGAAATAGGAATACATTAATTAGGGGGATTAGGTGGTCGTTGCAGGGAGAAAAATTTTTTTGTTTAAAGTATTTAATAGGGTGAGACAAAGCGTTGAGTCGTCCATCTATTTCAATAACGCCTCTACCGATGCTTA